AAAGATGACATGAGAGGTGATAGAGATCCATGGATATAGAAATGATATGAATAAAGAGAACGGCTGAGAACTTAACTGCACATGGAAAATCATCGATTTCTATGGCATCCGCAACGTTACACACTTTTTCAAAAAACTCACGGATTAACTCGAAAGTTTGTAGTTACAGTTTCAAGTGTTGTTCTAGGGTTAGTTCTATTAAGACCAGCCGTGAAAGCTTTCGTACTTGTAGTTTCTTTATAGTAATTTCTTTATTCCTTAGGTACATTAAATTCAGTAGAAACCTACACTTATTTAGAAACAGAAAGTAGCACCAAAGAACCTCTATTAAATGTAGGCACTTACAATTCTGTAATATACGCGTTGGCAAATTTCTTTCAAACCGAAAGTCAACGTAAAAAACTGTTTCATACAGAACTTCCAACTACAGAACCGAAAATTTGCACGTAAGTTATAATATTCATAAAAATTTACAAGAAACTTAAAAAATAAAATTACCATTCCCAGAAAACTTATCCATAAAAGTGATTTAATTAATAAATGGTGTACACTACAACCAGACCCTGATGCCGCCGTCGCAAGAAGATCGCAACATTTCTTTTATGATTTATACAATGAACGACCCATCCAAGGTCTAAATTCATTTTGGTATTTGCTAAAAGCCATGTTTCTTGGATTTTGGATTATTATATTCAGTCAATTTAATCGTACACGAAATTTATTATTCAAAGTAAGTTTAATTTTATATTTGTTTATAAATTTTTTTTCTATATTATGCATAGCACAATTGTATAACACCTAGTAAATACATACTAATTAGTTACTTATTTTTAACACTAAATTAAACTAGATAATGTTTTGCAGCTTTTTTCAGTGGTCCAGTCAGCTTTACCCATAATACAGATAAATATTGTCATATTTTTACCGTTTTAAGACCAAAACACAAAAACGCGCACACTGCGATACGCGGAACACACGTTTTGGGTATTATTGTTTTTGTTATAATTCCGCACTATTGCTCGCGTTTGAATCGACTAGGGCACTAGGTCACTAAATCGAACGGCTGCATCCTCTGAAGGCGACGTAGCACGCCGTTGTCGAGAAGCTGGATGGCCTCGCTGTTGGGATGATCGTGCATTCTCTTCTCATGTTTAGATGCGAATGATGCAATTTCTGATGACACCGACGCTACTTTCAAGTCGCGATGGCGGTCGGTGTTTCTTATATACCAGGGTGCATTCAGTATGCACCTTAGTACTTTGTTCTGGAATCTTTGACTCAGACTTGCATTTGTCTTGCAGGTACAACCCCACAGTTGGATTCCTTATGTCCATTTTGGTTTTAATACTTGCTTGTATATTAGCAACTTGTTACTTAGTGATAGCGTTGATTTTCTGCCAATAAGCCAATATAGGTGTCTAAATTTGATATAAAGTTCCTCACGTTTTTTTTTGACGTGAGCTTTCCATTTGAGTTTGGCATCCAACGTCATACCAAGATATTTTGCGGTGTCGGCGTAAGGGACTGCATTGCCATTTATGTGTACTGGGACATAGTTTACTTTCTTATAAGTAAAGTTTATGTATGTCGATTTATTTGTATTTAGTTTTATTAGCCAACGTTTGGTCCAGTTTTCTATTGAATTTAATGCCAATTGTAACTTATTTGCTGCAACTACTTCATTTTCTGCAACAGCCAAGATCGCTGTGTCGTCTGCGAATGTAGCTGTCAAAGTTTCTGGTACCTGAGGAAGGTCGAATGTGTAGAGTAAGTACAATGTTGGGCTAAGCACACTTCCTTGAGGAACTCCGGCTCGTATTTCATGTATTGATGAATAAGCGTTTTCGTATTTTACTCTAAAATATCGATCAGAAAGATACGATTTTAATAGTTGACTATACGTTGATGGTAGTATTTGGTCTAGTTTGTAATTTAAACCATCTAACCAGACTTTGTCGAAAGCTTGTGCAACATCAAAAAATAGGAGCAGACTTTATTCACATTACACATAATTTTCAATTATGTGTAATAGTTTTGTAATCGCCCGTTTTTTTTCATAGTCCACTGATTTCNGACTGTCTGAAAAAAATCATACTGTCATGTTCTTCACCACTCTCTCAAGAAGGATTTTAGCACTCATGTCAATAGCAAATCCTTCCGCCTGGAATAGGGTACAGTACGTACCCACACTTGCTTAATCCGAGGTGTCTGGCAGTACATTCCTGCCCCGACCCCTTCCGACGTTTTTGATCCATCTGTGAACATGCAAATATCTGCCTGAATCAGAGAATTTTCGTTTTAGATCCAGGACTGCCGTTCAGGCAGTACAATCTGGTATCAAGCATTAATCACTGGTAGTGATCCCGCCAAATATGACGGCATTGATAGTACAATATCAGTGCTTATAATGTCTTCCGCAGCCCATTAGTAGGACATGTCGGAACAGTTTTGAGCATATTGCTTAAATCTGTAAATGGCACTATATCTATATGCAAATACAAAGGAGATAAGTCAATCAGGACATACATTGCTAGAGTTGGTGTTATGCTTATCGCACCAGAGATTGCCAAATCAGCTACTCGTTGAATTCGTGATAGTTTACTGATAACTGAAGCCTGTCGGACTTTCCTGTACTAGGCTACTGCTTCGTATGTCTCCAATTTCCAAACTCTCCAATTTTTTTTATGAAGACTACGACAAGTCACAAGGATAGTCTAGTTTTGTGTAAAACTCCTCGCAAATGTCCACTCCATGACATGGTTTTGTATAGGATTACTCTAGGATTACGTATGAAGTTAGATCCTCAAGATACCCTGGTGAGTTTCGATGTGGAATCTCTACTTACGAGAAAAATACTAGTTAAATCTAACGACCATCTAACGCTTGGAATTTGAATCATGAATACTTTTTCAAGCGTATGGTTGTATTAGAAAGATGGAACCTTTACATTTAAGAATGAAACACAACATTATTCCAATGACTGCCACGGCTGGCCCTAAGTACGCCATAGGATCAACCCAATTTTCAAGTAGGTACTTTTTCGATTGTTAGGGCTTGAATTTCATGAATACCAACTTAGATCTTGTGTTTCAAGCCTCTGGATGGTTAGCGCTACATTTATCCTTAACGGCTCCTCACAAAAAGCATTCTAACGGGCTCAAATCACAGCTGCGAGACGAATTGACATCAGAATTTCAGCTGATTATTTGATTTTCGTAAACGGTGTCAAAAAGTTTAATTGTTACGTTGGCTGTGTGGCAAGTAGCTCCATCCTGTTGCAACCAAACATTTTCCATGTCATCCTCTTCGGTTTTTGGAAACAAAAATATGTTGAACATGGCGCGGTAACATTCGCCATTGACCTTAACGGCGGCTTTTGCTTACTTTCGAAGAAAAATGATGCCACCGTGCTAAAATCCGAACCAAACAGTCACTCGTTTTGACAATTTAATTCATTGTCATGACCTCCGATCAAACATGATTTTTTGATAAAATTGCTCATCTTCAGCCAAGCGATCTCCAGCCCATTGGGTGAACCGAAAAGGCATTATGGTTATGAGGCTTCAGTTCTTGCATTCATTGAAGCCTTCATACTAAGGACTTTTTTGCAACATTTTCCTCAGAGAAGTGCAAGAAATCCGAGAAATATTCAGTTCCTGAGAACGATGACGAGTTAATGTTGATGGATTTTCGTGCACACTCTAGGCAACAGCAGCAATGTTTTCGGCTGAACACACTGGACGAGAACGTGAATGGATTGTTTTGTCAATAACGATCCAGTTTCACGAGCTCGCTGCACGAATTGATCCACAAACCTGAAAGTTGAAGACTCATTTATTCCAAATTTTCCACGTAATTTTCTTACAGTTTGCTTCAACCCAAACTGTAAGAAAATTCACGACTTTGGAAGTAAGTTCATCAATACTTTCCATTTTTGTTCAAGCCTAAAGCATCTCATCTTGAATATGTTAAACATAAAACTAATTTTTTGTCAATTCGGGAATGTCATTTTATTTTTCAAAATCAAATCACCGTGTAGGAGAAGCGTTAAGGAAATATCTGTGGAAACCAAAGTTATAGCTTTGTTACGTGGATGCCACCTTTGTGATGTCTCCAGGAATTCCTAGAGCGTCTAAATTCACAACATCTCATGATCAAATTTACCATAGTAACTGCAAAACAGTTACTTTTCCTGGATATTTTGGTCTCCAGAAAGGCAGATGGGGACATGGAACTGGGACTCTATCTGAAGAAAACACACACAAACAGGCATCTACAGGCTTCGTTCTATCACACGGCAGTGATCCAAGCCATGTTCCAGCAAGCGGAAAGGATGTGCGACGAAAAGAATTTAAGAAAAGAATTTAAGAAAAGAACAAGGATTTACTGAAAGAAGTGCTCTAGAATTCTAGGAGAATGACTACACTCTGTGGGAAGACACGGTAAGTACTGCACCAGTCGATTCTATCGGCCTCACTTATATTTCAGGTGTGATAGAGCGGATTACAAAGTGCCTGAAAAAGAATGATATCTAGGTACGATGCGTCTGTAAAATTCGGAATGTTCTTCCGATAGCTATCAAGCAGTTGTGGGAAGTATTACGTTAGCCAAACTGGACGTAACATCGAGTGCAGCATCAAGGTGCATGTTCGTCTGTGCATGTTGCTGAGCATTCCCACAAAAAAATCACACAGCACACAGAGTAACAACCAAAGTAGAAATTATTTCCAAAAGATGACATGAGAGGTGATAGAGATCCATGGATATAGGAATGATATGAATAAAGAGAACGGCTGGGAACTTAACTGCACATGGAAAATCATCGATTTCCATGGCATCCGAAACGTTACACACTTTTTCAAAAAACTCACGGATTAACCCGAAAGTTTCTAGTTCCAGTTTCTAGTCTCAAGTGTTAGTTCTAGTTTTAGTTCAATTAAGACCAGCCGTGAAAGCTTTCGTACTTGTAGTTTCTTTATAGTAATTTCTTTATTCCTTAGGTACATTAAATTCAGTAGAAACCTACACTTATTTAGAAACAGAAAGTAGCACTAAAGAACCTCTATTAAATGTAGGCACTTACAATTCTGTAATATACGCGTTGGCAAATTTCTTTCAAACCGAAAGTCAACGTAAAAAACTGTTTCATACAGAACTTCCAACTACAGAACCGAAAATTTGCACGTAAGTTATAATATTCATAAAAATTTACAAGAAACTTAAAAAATAAAATTACCATTCCCAGAAAACTTATCCATAAAAGTGATTTAATTAATAAATGGTGTACACTACAACCAGACCCTGATGCCGCCGTCGCAAGAAGATCGCAACATTTCTTTTATGATTTATACAATGAACGACCCATCCAAGTTAATTGTTATTTAGGTCTAAATTCATTTTGGTATTTGCTAAAAGCCATGTTTCTTGGATTTTGGATTATTATATTCAGTCAATTTAATCGTACACGAAATTTATTATTCAAAGTAAGTTTAATTTTATATTTGTTTACAAATAATGTTTTTTTTTTGCTAATTTGTAGTATCCAAGTTCATTTAGTAATGGTTTGTTTACTCACGAGGGGCCAAGTGAAGAAAGACAAGAAGGTACAGTGGTGAATGTAAAACTACGTGGAAAAGGATGGTGGGGAATGTCACAAAACACAGTTGCCCTGATTGATTCTGCACCAAATAAAGAAATAATTGCTAAAGTATCTGGAAGAAATCCAGGTTATGGACTATCTTGTGCTACTTTTGCTATTTCTGCAATAACGATTCTTACTGAATCAGACAAAATGCCCTCAACGTAATTAATATCTTTTATAGTCATATTTATGTTGTTAATATTTGTAAATGTTTTAGGGGAGGTGTTTATCCACCAGGTGTAGCGTTTGCCCAAACAACTATGATTGAGAAATTACATCTAAATGGAGTTAAATTTGAATTGATTTCTAAAAATTAATTGTACCAGATTTTCCTTAGGATTAAGATTTAAGATGGAGTGTTTATTATTAAGATTCTAAAGGTTAAATTCTCTAGATTGGTTGTAAATTAGGGTATATTAGTATTTTTTATATCATGTACTTCATAAATAATCTAAAAATAAATAAATATTAAAATTTAACTAATTAAATTTTTTGAACTAAATAGTTGATAAAAGGTGAAAAACACTGAGTTTAACATATTTTATTTGAATAAACAAAGAAATGAGACAAGAAAATTANGACTAAGCACACTTCCTTGAGGAACTCCGGCTCGTATTTCATGTAGTGATGAATAAGCGTTTTCGTATTTTACTCTAAAATATCGATCAGAAAGATACGATTTTAATAGTTGACTATACGTTGATGGTAGTATTTGGTCTAGTTTGTAATTTAAACCATCTAACCAGACTTTGTCGAAAGCTTGTGCAACATCAAAAAATAGGAGCAGACTTTATTCACATTACACATAATTTTCAATTATGTGTAATAGTTTTGTAATCGCCCGTTTTTTTTCATAGTCCACTGATTTCTTTATATTTAATTTTTGTATTTCATAATACAGTTCCTTCATTCTTACACATGGTATATTACTCTGCTGATCACTTTGAAATACGTTAGGGACACTATTTAACATAGTTGTTGGACTGTCTGATGTAAAAGTTTTTTTCAGATGTTCAGCAAACAAATTAACTTTTTCTTGATTGCTCTTAGCCCAATTTCATTATTATTTCGAATTGGAGGTGTATGTGTTTTTGTAAAGGTCCAAAAGCTTTCTTGTTGCCTTCCACAGAGAATAATTAGTACTGGCATCGTCAGTAAGGTCTTTTAACTACTTTTGAATATTATTTTCTTTGTGGCTATCTGTTAATGCTCTTAATTCGGCTGTTATTTTATTTAATTTAATTTTATTACTAGGAATTCTATTGGTTTGCCATTTCTTTCTTGCTTTCCGTTTTTCTACAATTTTGTCTCTAATGAATTTAGGATAAATATTAGATTTAGGTTTTGGTGTTAAAATTGGTGTTGACGCCCAAGCTGCGTTTTGTATGTCTTTTAAGAACTTTTCTACTTCATTGTCAATGTCTTCGTTTGTTTTCATAAGAGCATTAAGATGAATTTTATTATCTAATGTTTGTTGAATTAGCTTCCAATTAGTGAGCTTATTAGTTAGTGATAAAAAGGGTTGTTTGTTACATACTTTGTTATTTAGAGTAATAATTACTGGTGAGTGATCTGAGTCCAGCCCTCTAGCTAGCTCTTCTTCTATGTTTACGAAGTTAAGCGATATATTTTTCGTAATAAAAAAATCAAGCAGGTCCGGAATTTTACTTTTATCTGTTGGCCAGTAAGTTAGCTTCTCAGTGGAGAGCACCTCACAATTTAGGGCCTCTATTGCAAGGTTCAGTTCTCTTCCTTTTGTATTTGTCAAGCGAGAACCCCAAGACATATGTTTTGCATTAAAGTTTCCTCCAAGTATAAATTTGGTGTCGAGATGTAGTAGAATTTCCTGATAATCTTCTCTTTTGAGATTATGTCTCGGTGGTATGTACGTTGCTTCTACAGACATTAAGCCATTAGCAGTTTGAACTTTTACCACTGTAGTTTGGTGTTGTTCAGTACTAATTGTATTGTTCAAATAGTGGTCAACATTCCTTTTAATAATAATTGCACTTCCACCTCGAGCCGCATTACTCGGGTGAATTGTGTGGTAAGTATTGTAATGGTTGATGTTTATATATGATTCTCGTGTAAAATGAGTTTCGGAGATAAGACATATATCAATATTGTTTTCCTTAAGTATTATTGGTAGTGTGTTTTGATGCTGTCGAAGACCATTGAAATTCCACAGCATTATCTTTAGTTGCTGCTTTTTAGACATTTTGATTTCTTTTTTGAATCGCTCCTTGGTTTAAATTGCTTTCAATGAAATCTAGACGAGCATATAATGTTTTTATTATTTCTTCTTGTTGAAGTATTTTTTCTAGTATTAGATCTAATCTTCTAGCCTTCTTATCAAAGCCAGGCATACGAGACGCCTGGCTTTATTTTATTTGAATTTACTGTTTGCTTATTTCTGATGGCTTGTAGTTCCTTAATCACAATGCATCCTCGGTAGTTCGCTGGATGATTTTCTCCACAGTTGAAACATTTAGCCGGGATTTCTTTGGCTTTAGTGCATTCGTTGGTCCATTGTTCACCAGCACATTTAACACATCTCGGATTTTTGTGGCAGTAAGCTTTGGTGTGGCTCCAACCTTGACACCTTTTGCACTGGGGCATTTGTTTTGGCTTTCTGTACTCTTCGATTTTGACACGCATTCCTAATATATTTGTTATTTCATGGATTCTTTTTACATCCTGTGATGGTGCAGAATCCAAGATGTATAAAGGAAGAGGCTCTTTTGTTTTGTATTTTAACATTTGGGTTACATTACAAATGTTATACTTGCGCTCCAATAGATCATCTTTGATATCATTAACATCACTTTTATGCATCTTTTTAGCGACTACTTTCAGATTTCTGGTTTGCTTATTTTGGTAAGTTGACCAGGACCAATTCTTTTCAGTAAGCATCTTTGATGCTTCTCTGTACTTTTCTTCCGAATTAAGATTCAGTTTTACTGTGCCGTTATTTAACGCATGTGTTAAAAATCATTGTCATCATATTGTTTGACATTATAAATTAATATTGGTCTGGGTAGTAATACCTTTGTTTTGTTTTTTTATGCCAGATTGTACGGGTTGCTTTTCAGGTTTGCTTTCAATTTCCGAAGACAGCTTAGATGGCGAGGTTTCAGTTTTACGTTTTTTGTTTCTTTTAGCTTGTTTTATTATCCAGTCAGTCTCCAAAGCTAACTCATCTTCGTCTGTGGTATACACCACTTTGGTGGTTACTGTTTATAAATAATGTTTTTTTTTGCTAATTTGTAGTATCCAAGTTCATTTAGTAATGGTTTGTTTACTCACGAGGGGCCAAGTGAAGAAAGACAAGAAGGTACAGTGGTGAATGTAAAACTACGTGGAAAAGGATGGTGGGGAATGTCACAAAACACAGTTGCCCTGATTNGGATGGTTAGCGCTACATTTATCCTTAACGGCTCCTCACAAAAAGCATTCTAACGGGCTCAAATCACAGCTGCGAGACGAATTGACATCAGAATTTCAGCTGATTATTTGATTTTCGTAAACGGTGTCAAAAAGTTTAATTGTTACGTTGGCTGTGTGGCAAGTAGCTCCATCCTGTTGCAACCAAACATTTTCCATGTCATCCGCTTCGGTTTTTGGAAACAAAAATATGTTGAACATGGCGCGGTAACATTCGCCATTGACCTTAACGGCGGCTTTTGCTTACTTTCGAAGAAAAATGATGCCACCGTGCTAAAATCCGAACCAAACAGTCACTCGTTTTGACAATTTAATTCATTGTCATGACCTCCGATCAAACATGATTTTTTGATAAAATTGCTCATCTTCAGCCAAGCGATCTCCAGCCCATTGGGTGAACCGAAAAGGCATTATGGTTATGAGGCTTCAGTTCTTGCATTCATTGAAGCCTTCATACTAAGGACTTTTTTGCAACATTTTCCTCAGAGAAGTGCAAGAAATCCGAGAAATATTCAGTTCCTGAGAACGATGACGAGTTAATGTTGATGGATTTTCGTGCACACTCTAGGCAACAGCAGCAATGTTTTCGGCTGAACACACTGGACGAGAACGTGAATGGATTGTTTTGTCAATAACGATCCAGTTTCACGAGCTCGCTGCACGAATTGATCCACAAACCTGAAAGTTGAAGACTCATTTATTCCAAATTTTCCACGTAATTTTCTTACAGTTTGCTTCAACCCAAACTGTAAGAAAATTCACGACTTTGGAAGTAAGTTCATCAATACTTTCCATTTTTGTTCAAGCCTAAAGCATCTCATCTTGAATATGTTAAACATAAAACTAATTTTTTGTCAATTCGGGAATGTCATTTTATTTTTCAAAATCAAATCACCGTGTAGGAGAAGCGTTAAGGAAATGTCTGTGGAAACCAAAGTTTTAGCTTTGTTACGTGGATGCCACCTTTGTGATGTCACTGCAAAACAGTTACTTTTCCTGGATGTTTTGGTCTCTAGAAAGGCAGATGGGGACATGGAACTGGGACTCTATCTGAAGAAAACACACACAAACAGGCATCTACAGGCTTCGTTCTATCCACACGGCAGTTATCCAAGCCATGTTCCAGCAAGCGGAAAGGATGTGCGACGAAAAGAATTTAAGAAAAGAACAAGGATTTACTGAAAGAAGTGCTCTAGAATTCTAGGAGAATGACTACACTCTGTGGGAAGACACGGTAAGTACTGCACCAGTCGATTCTATGGGCCTCACTTATGTTTCAGGTGTGATAGAGCGGATTGCAAAGTGCCTGAAAAAGATCGATATCTAGGTACGATGCGTCTGTAAAATTCGGAATGTTCTTCCGATAGCTATCAAGCAGTTGTGGGAAGTATTACGTTAGCCAAACTGGACGTAACATCGAGTGCAGCATCAAGGTGCATGTTCGTCTGCGCATGTTGCTGAGCATTCCCACAAAAAAATCACACAGCACACAGAGTAACAACCAAAGTAGAAATTATTTCCAAAAGATGACATGAGAGGTGATAGAGATCCATGGATATAGAAATGATATGAATAAAGAGAACGGCTGAGAACTTAACTGCACATGGAAAATCATCGATTTCCATGGCATCCGAAACGTTACACACTTTTTCAAAAAACTCACGGATTAACTCGAAAGTTTGTAGTTACAGTTTCAAGTGTTGTTCTAGGGTTAGTTCTATTAAGACCAGCCGTGAAAGCTTTCGTACTTGTAGTTTCTTTATAGTAATTTCTTTATTCCTTAGGTACATTAAATTCAGTAGAAACCTACACTTATTTAGAAACAGAAAGTAGCACCAAAGAACCTCTATTAAATGTAGGCACTTACAATTCTGTAATATACGCGTTGGCAAATTTCTTTCAAACCGAAAGTCAACGTAAAAAACTGTTTCATACAGAACTTCCAACTACAGAACCGAAAATTTGCACGTAAGTTATAATATTCATAAAAATTTACAAGAAACTTAAAAAATAAAATTACCATTCCCAGAAAACTTATCCATAAAAGTGATTTAATTAATAAATGGTGTACACTACAACCAGACCCTGATGCCGCCGTTGCAAGAAGATCGCAACATTTCTTTTATGATTTATACAATGAACGACCCATCCAAGTTAATTGTTATTTAGGTCTAAATTCATTTTGGTATTTGCTAAAAGCCATGTTTCTTGGATTTTGGATTATTATATTCAGTCAATTTAATCGTACACGAAATTTATTATTCAAAGTAAGTTTAATTTTATATTTGTTTACAAATAATGTTTTTTTTTTGCTAATTTGTAGTATCCAAGTTCATTTAGTAATGGTTTGTTTACTCACGAGGGGCCAAGTGAAGAAAGACAAGAAGGTACAGTGGTGAATGTAAAACTACGTGGAAAAGGATGGTGGGGAATGTCACAAAACACAGTTGCCCTGATTGATTCTGCACCAAATAAAGAAATAATTGCTAAAGTATCTGGAAGAAATCCAGGTTATGGACTATCTTGTGCTACTTTTGCTATTTCTGCAATAACGATTCTTACTGAATCAGACAAAATGCCCTCAACGTAATTAATATCTTTTATAGTCATATTTATGTTATTAATATTTGTAAATGTTTTAGGGGAGGTGTTTATCCACCAGGTGTAGCGTTTGCCCAAACAACTATGATTGAGAAATTACATCTAAATGGAGTTAAATTTGAATTGATTTCTAAAAATTAATTGTACCAGATTTTCCTTAGGATTAAGATTTAAGATGGAGTGTTTATTATTAAGATTCTAAAGGTTAAATTCTCTAGATTGGTTGTAAATTAGGGTATATTAGTATTTTTTATATCATGTACTTCATAAATAATCTAAAAATAAATATTAAAATTTAACTAATTAAATTTTTTGAACTAAATAGTTGATAAAAGGTGAAAAACACTGAGTTTAACATATTTTATTTGAATAAACAAAGAAATGAGACAAGAAGATTATAGAAAAGTAATGAAAGCAAAGATATATAAAAGATACAAAACTTTATTGTTAAACCTTAAATCTAATTAATTCATTGGACAAGATCCAATAGTAACATCGCCCGTTTTCATATTCTGCAATATTGTAGCTGGTTGATTATTAATCGCCACATTCCTCATGCAGCCATAAAATGGTTTTCTGGTAACTATACCCCGTGCTTTCGTTAATAAACGGTGACTACCCAAAAATAGCACACCTCCAGTATCAGTTGAAGACGCTCGATGATCACCTATGCCAGGTTCCGTGAACGTTTTATCAACTGATAATGTCACCACACTTTTTGATTTAACAGCTAAAAATTAATTATTAATATAAAAAAATAACTTCAATAAAGTAGCATAACATACCTTGAATTGAGTGCCATTTACCATCACATAAATAGTGTCTACTATCCGGTTCAAAAGAAGTGGTAATAGGACCACGTCCATTTTCAACTGTAAATCTTAAAACACCATTTACCATTTCAAGAACTAAGAAATCTTTTCTGCCATGTACAGCGACTAAAAGTCCTGTGACATTTCGTGGCTTAATATCCATTTTGATTTCCATTTCGAGTCCAACTTTGAATTTATTTTTCAACGAGATGTAACCGCCTTGGAAGAAAGTTCCTTCTTCTGTACCATCAGTACAGGATTCAATCGCATGCGAAACCGGTTTCTCCATGGGTTTACTATTCATTCCAAAGTTCTTTAAACAACCTTGGAAGTTATCTTCGATATTCTAAAAATTTTAATTCAAAAACACCAAATTTTTTTAGTATTTCTTTGTTTACCGTAGTGTCCGTAATAAAGCTTCTTTTTTCTGGTGAAAATCCGCCGAGCATAAATGGTGCACCTATATCGACTCTAATCGTAGGTTGACTAGTGTTTGAACTGAAAGAATCTCCATCAACTTTTAGAGAACCCACAGAATTATTTCTGGTGAAAACAACTTTATGCCATTGATCGTCATTATAAGTTAAATCAGTTTTCATAAATGCTGGACCAGTTCCTCCATCAAATTTATGAATAAGCTAATATCCAAAAAAGTAAAATTATTTGAAATTCGACGAAAAATAAGATTGAAAAAACTTACATGTCCATCTTGCATGTACAACGCAACATAATGAGAATTGTCAGGATTTGAGGCATAAAAAATTAATCCGTTTGTAGCTTGTGTTTTAAATTCAACCATAAATTCGTACTGTTTCTTGTATTTCCCTCTGGGTTGTTCATATTCTATTCTACTTTCAGGGGCGCTTCCTAAAGAAATCACAGCAAAATCAAATAAACGAAAACAAAACGCATTTAGTAAGAACAACACAATAAACGACTGCATCTCTCTGCTAATATTAGAAATATCTCTCTAACTCTTCCTGTGTCATAATCTCAACTAGTTCAAAACGATTAAAACTGATATTACACATAATATTTATCTTTTAAAATTTCCTGCCGATTAAAAAAAATTAATAAAAACGAATGGAGTAAAATAAATAATTACTACACTAACAATAATACAGACGACGAAAGAACTTTAGAAAAAACTTTGTTAAATTTTAATTTAAAAAAATACCCCTACCAAAACGCCAAATTGAATCTAATCTCTGGGAATCTATTAGATGTGAAGAATTTGTAATCGGATTTGGTGAGAGGTTGACACAACTCGTGGTATTATTTGAGGAAACTAATGCAAAAACACTAACTATTGTAAACCACAATAGTAGATGCATTGTGGTAGTCTTAGAACACAATGAATGAACTGCATTATCTTAGAGAGGACCAAAATAAACTCAGATAATGGGAATAACAGTCAAAGGTCGACTAGGTCGTAGAGTGGAAGAAGAATAATTGTGGAAGGCATGGTGACAATAATAATAAAAGTATTACAGAAGATCTAGATGTGAATTTTAAACAATTAAAATTAAAACTGCTTGCTCTAATAATAATATTAGGATGATATATATTTTTTTTTAATTTAAACGATTTGAAATTGATTTTGTTTAACTAATGTTCAATTTAGACAAAAGTATTGCACGTCACTTCGCACAAAAAATGTCGGTGTTAAACAACATGTTATGAACCAATTAATTAATTTTAATTAATGAAGAAATTATCACTCCGAAATGACATTTAAGTTGTACTCATTTTCACCACGAAAGCGACAAAATACCGTTAAAGTCGCTTCTAGAAATAACCTTTCATGTTATTATCCTATCAGTATATGACCAAGGGCGTCGCCAGAAAGGGGCAGAGGAGGGCCACTGCGCCCCCTAGAGGTAGGTTCGAAAAAGAAATTAAAACACAATAAATATACATCTCGAGTACTGAACAACTATCGAATGGGATGCCATATTTTGATCTGGAAATCAAGGAAGTTCAAGAAGTATTCGTCAAACTTGATGCTTTGGATGCGAAATGTATTGCAAAAGCAATAGATGGGTTTTCGGCAGAAGAAGATCTTGATCCGGACAAATGTGTTGGTTTAGGATTTGACGGTTGTTCGACGATGACCGGGAAAGAAGGTGGTGTGCAAGCAATCCTAAGCAGAAAAAATAAAAAAGCTTTGTGCTTTCATCAAAGGAAGGTACCATCAAAGATATTATTACATTTTTTCAAGAATCAGTTTTGAGACGCAAATCGCAGCTCCATGCAGCAGCTTCTAGAGTTTCGCTTATTCTCAGCTTTATTTTGAGCCAAATACTCGGCTATGATGGAACCTGTGGTAAAAGTGCTTCAATCCGTAGCTTTGAATGTAGTTAAGGCATCCCAGCAACATAGCCGCCTTTTTGGAATTTATAGAAAACCATCGTAACGGTCCAGAAAACGTCACAAATGGAATTATTAGGGACGCTACTATCGTTGCAGAAAAACTTGGACTGGGAGAAGACATGAAGTCCTTGCCCCGTATTGTTGAGAGACAACAACATCAGAACAACCACCCAGCAGCAAGTCCCTCAGAATTCTGGCGGAGGTCTTTNACACTAACAATAATACAGACAACGAAAGAACTTTAGAAAAAAATTTGTTAAATTTTAATTCAAAAAAATACCCCTACCAAAACGCCAAATTGAATCTAATCTCTGGGAATCTATTAGATGTGAAGAATTTGTAACCGGATTTGGTGAGAGGTTGACACAACTCGTGGTATTATTTGAGGAAACTAATGCAAAAACACTAACTATTGTAAACCACAATAGTAGATGCATTGTGGTAGTCTTAGAACACAATGAATGAACTGCATTATCTTAGAGAGGACCAAAATAAACTCAGATAATGGGAATAACAGTCAAAGGTCGACTAGGTCGTAGAGTGGAAGAAGAATAATTGTGGAAGGCATGGTGACAATAATAATAAAAGTATTACAGAAGATCTAGATGTGAATTTTAAACAATTAAAATTAAAACTGCTTGCTCTAATAATAATATTAGGATGATATATATTTTTTTTTAATTTAAACGATTTGAAATTGATTTTGTTTAACTAATGTTCAATTTAGACAAAAGTATTGCACGTCACTTCGCACAAAAAATGTCGGTGTTAAACAACATGTTATGAACCAATTCATTAATTTTAATTAATGAAGAAATTATCACTCCGAAATGACATTTAAGTTGTACTCATTTTCACCACGAAAGCGACAAAATACCGTTAAAGTCGCTTCTAGAAATAACCTTTCATGTTATTGTCCTATCAGTATATGACCAAGGGCGTCGCCAGAGAGGGGCAGAGGGGGGCCACAGCCCCCCCTAGAGGTAGGTTTGAAACAGAAATTAAAACACAATAAATATACATCTCGAGTACTGAACAACTATCGAATGGGATGCCATATTTTGATCTGGAAACCAAGGAAGTTCAAGAAGTATTCCTCGTATTCGTCAAACTTGATGCTTTGGATGCGAAATGTATTGCAAAAGCAATAGATGGGTTTTCGGCAGAAGAAGATCTTGATTCGGACAAATGTGTTGGTTTAGGATTTGACGGTTGTTCGACGATGACCGGGAAAGAAGGTGGTGTGCAAGCAATCCTACGCAGAAAATATAAAAAAGCTTTATGCCTTCATCAAAAGAAGGTACCATCAAAGATATTATTACATTTTTTCAAGAATCAGTTTTGAGACGCAAATTGCAGCTCCATGCAGCAGATTCTAGAGTTTCGCTTATTATCAGCTTTATTTTGATAGCCAAATACTCGGCTACGATGGAACCTGTGGTAAACGTGCTCCAATCCGTAGCTTTGAATGCAGTTAAGGCATCCCAGCAACATAGCCGCCTTTTTGGAATTTATAGAAAACCACCGTAACGGTCCAGAAAACGTCACAAATGATATTATTAGGCTGCTACTATCGTTGCAGAACAACTTGGACTGGGAGAAGGCATGAAGTCCTTGCCCCCTATTGTTGAGAGACAACAACATCAGAACAACCACCCAGCAGTAAGCCCCTCAGAATTCTGGCGGAGGTTTTTAGTAATACCATACTTAGACTCGATTATTAATTCTTTTGAAGTTCGCTTTTCTGAAGAAAACACCGCGTCATTTTCCTTATCTAAATTACACCCAGCTCAAATGTTAGACATGTCCCTTGAAGACCTCGTAGAAGCTGGTGAAGTTTTTTCATAAACAGAACGTACTTGAACGTACGAGATTTTGATTGATAAAAACGTTTTAAAAGCCCCTGAGTCAGTAACTATAGGCGGGGAGGGTACCTTGATCATTGCAGCAAATCCATGACATAGGGATTAAGGATGAGATCATGTATCTGAGCACGTAAAGAGGGGCGCTACAGAACAAGAAATAAAGAGAAGAATCGGAATGGCAAAGAAATTAAAACAGGATTTCTGAAATCTTTAATGTTAACCATAAATGCTACATGCCGAAAGAAGATTGAAGCTTTTGAAATGATATATTAAAGAAGAATGTTGAGAATACTGAACTGCGTATCGTTCTAATGTATTCCTTCTAGAAGAACTAAAAATACGCGATAATGGGAGATTACTACCAATAGCCCAACGTCGCATGCTTAAATTCTTCGGTAATGCAATACGGAAGGAGGGCATTGAAAAATTCATGATACAGGGGGAGGTTGATGACAAATAGAGGCAGATCACCGGTGAGATGTATAGACCAAGTAAAGTATCTGGCACAGATATCGAAATGACGACGTCTGAATTTGGACGACGACTGAAGAGAGAAAAATCAGTAACTATCAGCTTTTTGTAACAACTGACTCACTTTCGCATACATTTTTTCATAAATAAACCGGAGGGTTGCACCATAAATAATTCTTAGTCACTCTCGATCAAAAACCGTAAGGGTTTACGTAAGATAGTCAAGTCGACCGGTTTGGATAAATTCCTATGATAACATACAGGGTGTTTACTGCACTACTGATTTGACGTAAATTTTCTTTGATTTATGAGTAAGTACGCCAGAATTGACCTGGCCGACACGAATAAATTTTGGATGCCGAAGAAGAAATTTTAAATCTTGTCGAAGAAGATCCTTTTAGTAGTACTCGACAAATATCTCGCCAATTAAATTTTTCAAATCGGATTATCAGGTAAACACTGCGCGAGAATCAATTATTGTATAGTCTCCATGTACAAAAAGTACAAGCTTTACAACCTGAAGATCATCCGTTTCGTTTACAATTTTGACAATGGTTTCTACAAAAACACACTGAAATTCCAGAAAAGGAATTTCCAAGAAAAGTTTTCTTCACTTGTATTAGCGCCTGATGAAGCAACATTTTCATGTATCGGCCAACATCATCATCAACACATTTCGCCAACATTATTTACATAATGTGTTTGAAAATAGGTGGATTGGTTGAGGTGGTCATGTTTCATGGCCTCCTTGGTCATCTGACCTTAATTCATCTTAATCCCCTTGATTTCTATTTATGGGTACCCAATTCATAGATACGTCGAGCAACTCTTTGTATTCAACAACACGGAGATAACTTTGAACAATTAGTGTAAAGTAGTTTCCATGAAAAAGAAATAAAAAAACCGTTTCAGCTTAAAAATATACTTTTGTTAAAACATTTTTACGTTAATAATCTTCTTTTGAGATGTTTAAGCACCCCTTGAAAATAAAATCACAAGACCGTAAACATCCTGTATATTATTATTTCAGTATATGATAACATTGATAACACATGGTTTATTGGTGCATTCATTGAAAGTTAAGTTGAAACGATGATCTTTTTGTTGCACAATTTTTATTTCATCGGTTTTATTAAATTACAGGGTGGGGCAGTCCAACCGCACTATTTAAAACTATTAAAAAAGTTTGCAACAAATGTAAATAAAAAAGATCAAATTTTATGTAAAACAAAAAAAAGCATTTTTGAATATTACTTCAAGAAGATGGCGGCCATTATTTTGCACACAAGTCTTTGGCGGAAATTATCACTGATACATCGTAGTATCGCTGGCATTATTGCAGGAATTTTATCTTCAAACCATACTTTTAAATGTTATATTATTGCCGGGCGGACCTCATATACCTTAGATTTCAGATGTTCCCTTAAAAAATAGTCAAAGTGACAGCCAATGAATATTCCTTTTTTTACTAATGAGGCGGTTCAGAAAAAAGTCTCTAAGAATTTAACTAACCCTAGTTGTGTGACTAGTTACTCCATCTTGTTGGAAATGATTAGATGAGCATTCGAACATATTCCGTTGATGTTACGGTAACTGTCATCATTCGCAAAGAAATATGGACCAACTATGCTATTGGAAGACATCGCACACCAAACTGTAACTTTGGCCGAATGGAGAGGTTGTTTGTGAAGTTGATGAGGGTTTTCAACGGCCCATTAGCGAAAGTTATGTTTATTAACATATTCGCTGATATCACTAATCGATAAATTATCGATGAGGTGTGGATTGGGTTATTATTTGGGTTATTTTGTGGGACGGTTTTTGACATTCATTTTCACATAAGTGGAGCGGACAGAGAATTTAAGGTTTCTCTCCAAGGTATACTTACGTAGTTGCAAGTTGGCAAAACTATGATAAAAGAAGATTAGATTGTTAATGTAGAAAATGGGACAAATTAAACAGGAATGGAACAAGAAACTAGGATTTTGAAGAATTTTTAGGTTACGTCAATTTCAAACCATCTCTCAACGCAATTAATATGATGCTGAAGCATTTCAACTGACGATAGAATGTTTACATCGTGTACGACGCAACATTTTCATTCGCCTTTCACAGGAGTTCCATTTTTCTGGTAGTGACTGGTCTGACAGTTTGGATAGACATTTTCAGATTGAATAGAAGCAGTATGTTTGTTACTACAGTTGAAACGGAGAACAGTTTTCATGATCTGAAAGTAGCTGTTTTTACGAAAAATCCTGCTTGAAGTAGCATTTGACACGAGTCATCCCACAATTATTTTAATTTTACTAATAATTCTTTGGCAAATTTGCAGAAGAGAAAAAAAGAAAAGAGGAGAAAGGAATTATTTATTGTGCAACGCTACGGTTTACTTATGATAAAATGTACCAGAAAGTGAGTCAGTTGTTCGTTGGGTCTTGTGAAAGGCAATCGAACATAATTTTTAACGAGAGCTAAAAGTCATTTTCTTTAATTAACATTACCCAAGGTAACATGATTGTCTATAGACAACAAATCATTTTCATGAATTGAACTTGTTGTAAGTCCAAACAGGGGGAGCAAGTACAATAGTGAGATTGTGGAAATTAATACAGTTACTGTAACTATTGTGCTTTGCTTATGGATTTCCAGTTGCAGTGATTGCTATCATGTATTCTCAAAATGGGCAAACAACATAAGAGCAAAACATTGAAACTGATGACAGCGCGGCCATTATTAAATTTAACAAATAATTATGAACATTCAGGAACGGGAAGCTGAAATAAGACGAACAGTACTGCAATAAATCATGTTTTAAAATTTAAAACTTGATGGAAAAATTTAGATTTGTCCATACCGATCTAATCACATCAGCGCAGAAAATAGAAAGGCAAACAACACATAAAGGACATAACCGTTTGAAGGTAATAGAATGAAAATAAACTGACATGCAAATGTATTATTTTAATAGACACCATTGATCAGATATTGAGGTGTAATTTGGTTCTAAAGTTCTAACTATAATATCAAAATCTGAGACATGTATTAAATGAAAAATGGAACACAGGTGATAAAAGAGTTAAGTAAAAGGTAAGGGGATAATGCTCGATACCAGATTGTACTGCCTGAACGGCAGTCCTGGATCGAAAACGAAAATTCTCTGGTTCAAGCAGATATTTTCATGTTTACAGATGGATCAAAAACGCGGGAAAGGGTCGAGCAGGAGTACTGCCAGACACTTTGGATTAAGTAAGCTTACAGCCTGGGTACGTACTGTACCCTATTCCAGGCTGAAGGATTTTTCTAAAATCCATCTTGAAAGAGGGGTGAAGAACATGACAGTACGATTTTTCTCAGAGAGTCAAGCCGCTCTCCAGGCGCTGCAGGCCGTGAATACGGCGTCGGCTCTGGCTAATGACTGTAAAAGAACTTTAAACACACTGACTTGTGATAACAGAGTTTCTCTGGGGCTGCTGGCAATAAAGCGGCAGATGAGCTAGCACGAGAAGGCAGCTCTAAAGCATTTGTGGGGCCAGAGCCTGCAGTTGGTTTATCATTTGCGATAGCCAAACATAAGATTGGACTGTGGGCTGAAGAGAGACTTCGCCTATTGTGGATCAGTTCTCCTGGAATGAGACACGCTAAGTTGTTTATTAACATCGCTTCTGTCAAGTCCGGGAACATTTTGGGACTTGCTAGTAACATCCTTAAAATTCTAATGGGTGTCTTTACTGGGCACTGTTATCTATCGGGATACAATAGATCTTTAGGGTTGCGGCGTAAGGTTGGTTGGTCCACCTACCCGATATGTAATCTATGTAGTGTAATTTAATGTAATGTATCAACTGGAAGGAAAATATTTTCAAACACAGTTTTTGAATACTATATTTTCTGCTTATCTCTGCTTATCACTGTTCTTCCAATAGTTAGTAATTCACATTTAACAAAGTAATATTACAAAGCATATTACCCTTAAACATTAAAAAGAATCCGATGTGATACATTATTTTTGCACGATCGGACTATTTTGTTTATTTACGAGTAGTGTTTCTATGACGGTAAGTTGATTTTACTGTTTGCTACGGCTAACACGACGGTAAGTAATTTAGAACGGTAAGTGAGTATAATAAATAAAATAAAACCAGGGCAACAGAATTAATTCAAATTTTTTACCTATTTTATAAATCATTACAAATGTCAATATATTTTAGTAAATTAATTATTATTTATGTATATTCATTTCGATCGTGCAAAAAATGTTATAACCATCACGAACGGTAAGTAATTTACCGGTTTCCGACACTATTGGAGACTTCGCTCCGCTACGCGTCGCTCAATCTCCAAACATTGTCGTCAACCGGTAAATTGTACTTACCGTTCTGGATACTTAATATACTATACTTACCAAATTTGAATGGTCCGTAAACCTCATTAATTTCCGTCATAACCGGATGCAAAGGTAATGCACAAGTCGGCTCATATATTCCAGGCTGTGGAACAGTGCGTGGAGGATAAGGTATACGTGATGTAACAGGTGTTGCCTCCGTAGACTCGAAGTCATCATCTGGAGGAACTACGTCGTGATCGGGTGCGTCAGTTATTGGTTCCACTTCGCCACTATCTCGTCCTGCATCTTGTCCGCCATCGCCTCGTCCACTTTTCGCAAGATCTAAACATATACAATTGCATTAGGAATGTATGTTTAAGAAAATATAGAAAAATGTACCTTCATTGTATGGATCTAAAGTTTGGATCTCAGGTAACGCCGTTGATACCTTTGGTAACTCATGAAGAGGTGGTAAAGGTGGAACTATGGATTATATTGCAATTAATCATGTTATGAAAGAAAATATGTATAATTTATTATTATGTAATATATTATTGTAATATATTTGGTGTATGGAACAAATTTTCATTATGAAGAAATGGTTTAAACAATCACAATATTGCTATATTTTTATAAAAAACATAATGATGGTCCTAACCAGTGATGGATAGTGATTTTGCGAAAAGCCGGATACCGGATATTCGGCATCCCCTTCGACTGGATATCCGGCATATCTCCCGGCCATTATGGTTATAATTTCTGGTGCATTTCTGAAGTGATACCCTATATTGCCACAGTATTGCGATATTTGAATAAAAATGAAATTAATAAGAAAGCTGATAACAACTTATTTGGATCCAAGATACAAAATTAACTTTTTTGACGCTGATTTAACTAACGAAGCAACTCTAAAAAGAGGATACATTAATTAATAATTGGTGATATTTCCACAAGGATCCTTCAAGAAATAAATCTTATAGCGAATTTTGAAAGTTATCGATGATAATTGCAACATCGAAAATTTTATCAAAACTTCAAAAAAAACTAAAAGTTATTTTTCAAAACGGGTTGGTTCATTGGAAAGAGGACACTTTTATTAACACTTTGGGAAATTTTCTTACTCATATTCCAAGAACTGTATTTTATACGAATTTTTAAATCCGGTCAAAGCCGGATATTAAGGGGGGAAACCACATTAGGAGGCTCATTTTCACTAATTTTTTAGGATTTTTTTTGGGTGGGAAGAATTGATTAGAATTTAATCAAATTTTGACACTATCTTTTTTATATTTCGAACAACTTTTGTGAATTTTTTGAATAATTTTATAGAAAAATAACAAAGTTGTTCACTGACTCCGCTAGACGTCGTACCTAGTTCTCCAATTGCGGGACGTGTAGCCATTTCAATTTTCATTTGATATCGAAAAGCTTTTCATTTCAGATTAATAACTTATTTTCAAAGAATATGAACCTCAATGCAGGTAAATGTAACGAAAAATAAAAATTTTGCAGGTATTGGAAAAATTTACTTATAATTTCACATTTTTTTTTTTACTAATTATGCAAAAAAAACTCTCTTAAAATCATGATATCATCTCAAAAGTTAGTTTATATATTTCGTAATTTCATAAAGAATCATACTATCAATTTTCATAATGATTGGTTCATTACTTTTTGAGTTAGAGTTCTCGCAAATGTGAAAAAAGTCATTTTGGGAAAAACGCGTTTGAAAAAAAATCTCGAAAACTAGAAATTTAGAAAAGTTAACAATAATATAAAGTAGTCGCCGATTAATCCGCGATTCCTGCACCATACATTAGTCCTTCTTCTTCCTCATAGGCTTCATTTTGCGCTTGCAGCAGTGCTTTTCGAGCTTCCCGACCTTCCTTCGACTTCAATGTCGATTCTGTCGACTCACGCGCTAGTTATCTATTTGTTCAGCGTACTGGAAGCTTTGCGTACCTACTACAACTCCTGCTTCGTTCATGATCATCAGAAGGGATGAATTTCCTGCATTGAATAAGCCCGCGGCTATGTACGATGCCAATTCGATGACTTTTAGTCCGGAGTGCAAATGTTTAGGAACTAATCGCCAAATTGTGAAATTAAAGCTTTCATTTGCGTTTCGCGTGTGGCCACCTAAACATCTTTCCAGTAATTCATCCCTTGATAAATCTTCATATATATGCAGAATTTCCTGCTGTATGTCGGGATGCAATGGAGTAGGATGCGGTGCAAGCTCCATATCAAGAGCTGTTCGTTTCTGCCACACGCACCAGCTGTCTTCTCCCTATGGGCAACACTCGTGTCGAGAATTTTCATCGGTGGATATCATATGATAGTATGTCGCCATAATAGCTGTTTTCATATTTTCTACACTATCGATGTATGTCTTCGAATCGCTAGTTCATAGTAAGTGCTGAGCTTTTTCGCTAATGATGTCACAAGTAAATCACGCGTGAGTCACCTGATTCATATGTGCACGTAAGTGGTATGCGTGACCCGCGTGGTATAGATCGTGAGCAGGCATAAAAAATCACTAACGCGCACATCTCTAGTATAGGCTACGGCAGACCGCTCGGTTCCATGCTCATAAAATCTAAAGGAATGCGAATTTTGGTTTGTAATTTTGACATCGTATTCTTGCATAGTTAAGCTAACGACTTATGCAATAAAAAAATCGATTTTTTGAACCCTCTAATGTGGTTTCCCCCCTTAAAAGGATTTAAAAAAAATGGCCGGATAGGCCGGATACCGAATAGTTGCCGAATATCCGTTCCACCACTAGTCCTAACATTACATACTTGAATTCTGATCATTATTTTCTGGTGAAAACTTGTCCCATTTTTTTTGAGTACTGCAACCCTATATAAAAATAACTAACCTGTATGATCTATTGAACTTATATCGTCACGTTCATCTAAAATACATTTGCCCAATTTATCACCTAGTTTATTAGTGGAATTTGCAAAGTTGACAATTGTTCCATTTAATGTAGCATCGCCGATGCAACCTACGAATGATTTATCCGTTGCTGCGTTTCTTTTTTTGATAATGTACTCATCAGGAACACCGCCAATGAATAATTGACCATACGTTATATGTAACGGTTTTGGAGGTGCATCAGGACTAAAAATTGTCCATAAAAATGTATTCATAACAAAAACAAAAAAATTGAATACTTACTTAATTTCTCTAAAATCATAATCATCCAAATCAATCCTTAACGCAGTGCTGTTATGTCTAATACTAACAACGTGCCATTCGCTATCATTATAATTATCGTTAAAGCTCAGTTCAATATTTTGGCTAATTAAAATTAATTTAGAGTTTTTCAATGCCAAAGAAACAGAATCGGATTGTTCCCTATTTGTGGCGTAGAATATTAAACCGTCTTTTTCTTTAGTTTTGAATTTAAGTGTCATCTTAAAATCATTATTAACATAGACCGGTCCCGCTTCCATATAAGCTCTCGGTTTCGTTTTTGAGAACGACACCAATCTCGCAAACTAATCAAAAAAAATCGGTTACTTTTCAACATTTAAACCAAATTTAAACATATTTACTTTAACAGGACATCCTGGTGTTACTCCATATGCCCGGACGTTTTGATTCAAATCAATCGGATTTCTCATTATAACATTATCAATACATCCGTCAAAATCGGTATTGGTTACATCAATGAAGTGATGAGTACCCGGATAACCACCAAAGAAGAGATAATCTGCTTGTTCTAAAGTGGTTCCCCCCACACTTGGGGTTACGTCTTCTATTGGTTCGTCGTCTATTGTTAAAACGCTTTTGGATCCATCTCGGCGGGCACTAATTAAATGCCAATTACCGTCGTTATAAGTGTTTGGTGATGACCAAACTTTTATTCCATATCCTAAATTATACTAAAAAAAAAGATAATAATAGATGTTAAGTCCGTATATGATTTAAAATAATTTTAATTACTTTGTAAAGAACTTTTCCATTTCGAATTTCCAAAGCAATAAACGTCCTTTCCTTGCCGTACAGGAATAACAAACCTGTTGTTGCAAAAGTTTTAAATCTTAATTGAATGTCAGAACGTTTATTAATCGATTGAGTTGTTCTGGCGTCGACTAAAACGTAACCTTCTCCGTTAAATCTACATCCCGTACTAGGGTGAAGATTTTTCAATCTATCCCTATGAAAGATATTAAAAATAAAAATTTAATATCAAAAAAAATTTTTACATGAAATTAACATGAAACTAACGTTAGCACTACCACTTGAACTAACAATAAACTTTGAGAAAGTGTTTGACGTTTTGGATGCAATGTTGCCTTCTTCTGAAACAAGTTTCAAGTGACAAAATCGGCAAAATATACATGAAAAAACAATTAATTAACACTAATGAAAAGGTGTAAGCTACCGTGCAAGAGGCAGCTTTATATCTTTGTTCCAGATAATTTGAAGTTGCAGGAGCAATGTTAAGTCCATCTAATCTCTTCGGACCATCATTCTCAGCAATGATGCTATATCTACAACGCAAAATCCAACCGATAATGCTTTTTATTCATCAGATTCACTTCCATCAGAAGATGAAAGCGAAACATTTGTTGATTCTGGATCTTCTTACCATCCCTCAGATAGAGCAGAAAGTAATACCGATATTATTATTATTATTGCTGACGGGTAATATTGTAACCTTAGCCCTCCAAAAGTTTAGGGCAAATGTAGGTCCTTGATGAACCTTAGTATTGCCCTGACGTCTTGAACCTTTATGTCGGTAGGTGTCAAGAGAGATTTACCGGAAATTTTGTGTCTTAGACGGCCTCTGGCGACGCAATTGTACAGTATATGTTCAGCTGTTTATGACTCGTCGTTGCAAGGTCGACAAGTTTGATCCTCAGCTTGTCCCAAGTGGAAGAGGTGGTATATTAGGGGCGCATGGCCGATCAGGTAACCTAAGAGCGTCCTTAGATCCCCTTTGCTGAGGCATAAAACCTCTTTGGTTTTGTTTTGCGACGGAGTTATCATACTCTTCGCTTGTCTGTGACCTGGAAGTTCTTTCCAGCGTGTAGTATGGAACAATAGATGGTGTTACGGGTTCAAGTCATTAAATACTTTTAATGATTTGAAAGACAGCTTAACAGATGAAACTACTTTGGTTCATTATAACTCAGAATTTCCATTATACGTAAGTAGTGATGGGTCGGATAAGGGAGCTGGAGCAGTATTATGCCATAAGATGCCTGACAACTCATTTCGACCCGTAGCATATGCGTCCAGAACATTTACTGAAGTGGAAAACCGCTATTCCACTATAGATAAAGAAGCATTGGCGGTAGTCTATGCTGTTACTTAATTCCATCAATATTTATATGGTAGACAGTTTGTATTACAAACGGACCATAAACCGTTGGAACAGATTTTCAGTTCGAATCGAGAAACACCGAAGATTGCTAGCAATCGTCTATTGCGATGGGCTATGATTTTAAATAGCTATAACTATGATATTACCTATAAACCAGGAAAAGAAAATCAGACAGCTGATGTTTTATCTAGGTTACCACTGAAGGAGAAAACGGAAACTACGAAGTATGAAAAAATTAGTTTACCTAAGTATGGATATCTACTTCATTTAAGAGTGAAAAAGGGATGAAATTTTACGACAACTGATTCCATATATTAAGAACCATTGGCGAGACAAAGATAGAGTGAAATCTTTTATGAAAAGAAAGAAGAATTATCATGCGAGGAAGACCTAATTTTGTGGAAGGGAGGAATATGTATTCCTAAAAGCCTCCAATACCCAACGCTCAAAATGCTTCACGATGGACATCCAGGAATAACCGTAATGCAATCCATGGCGCGTTTACATGTATATTGGCAAAACATAGATGCAGATATCGAAAAATATATCCAAGGGTGTCAAACATGTCAAAGTAGTAAACAAGATATTCGACACTTACCTCTCTACCCCTGGAATGCACCACCGGAACCCTGGTCTAGAATTCATCTAGATTTTGCAGGACCATTCGAAGGGAAAATGTGGATGATCATTGTGGATGCGTATTCAAAATGGATTGAAATTGAAGAAATGAACAATATTACAACAGCGTCAACCATCAAAGTGATGAAAAGTGTTTTTGCGCGATTTGGATTGCCGAAAACGTTAATTACAGACAATGGGCAATCACTTAGTGTCAAGTAACTTTGAAGACTTTTGTAAATCACAAGGTATTAAACATGTGAGAATAACTCCTTACCATCCAAAATCAAATGGAAAAGCAGAAAGAGTAGCAAAAATCTTTAAAGACCGTTTAAACAGTAGTGACAAAAATTTAAATCTACATGATAGACTATATAAATTCTTGATGTCTTACCGAAGTGTATTAATGTTCGATCGACCAGCAAGAATTATTTTTAGCCAACTGAAACCAGATGTAGGTAGAAAACTTGATAATGAATCATTAAAACAAAAGATGTATTATGACAAACAACACGTCAGAGAAAAGTTTTTTGAGTTTAACCACCCCGTATGGATAAACAACCCATTAACCAAGGGATCAACGCCCGGCAATATATTAAAACAATCAGGTCCGTATTCCTACTTAGTTGATGTAAATGGTATTCCGAAGAGAAAACATGCAGATCAGATGCGACATCGATACACGATAGAACCGGAAACGAGTTCGTCAAATGAGATAGTTGCACATGACAATACCATTGACAAAGTTCAGACGGAGATCAAATATGAATCAAGAACCGAAGTATCACCAAATGAGGTAACGACAGAATTATGTTCAACCCCTGTTAATACACAATCACCAACCCCTACCGATATCGAGACGAAATCCACCAAGAAATCGACAAATACCTGTTCGTTTCCGAGACAATTGATGTTTAGAATTTGAGTTGTGTTCTTATTTTTGTTTACATTGTAAGGGAGGAATGTAGTATGGAACAATAGATGTAACGCCATCTATTCGGTTTGTAAAACACATGTATCGGCGGCCATGTCACTTTTTACTCTTGATCCGTCCGCATCTAGTTAACGTGAATTGTATCTTAAAGTGCCGTGCTATTAGTAAATGATTATAGTTTATTGGGACTTTAATTTATTAACACCTTACACCTCATACGACACAGCGTAAGGCTACCTTTCAGATCTTCCAACTATTGATTATTTGTTTTAGGTGGCTTTTTTTTGTAGTCCACAACCAGGATGGGGTCAAATGAAGGGCGTGTTCGCTGCCTCTCTGGCCAGCTTGTGCGCCTTCTCATTGCCCTCAATGTAGCTGTGACCTGGAACCCACCATAGGGTAACATCATTGCCCCTAGCGAGTTCTCTCAGGTTGCTGGTACACTCTCTGATCAGTGTGGAGTCACACAGTAGGCCTGAATTGCCTTTAAGGCGGCCCGACTGTCTGTGAAAATGTTTATGGATGCACCGTTCTTTCCCTTCTATAGGTTCAAAGCGGTGCAGAAGTTTATAGCAAGAACTTCTGCTTGGAAAATTGTTAAGTCCGAGCTGAGGGGCAGTTTAATGTGGCTATTTGGTCCACTGATGCCCATACCTACTCCGGATCTTACTGTCTTTGAAGCATCGGTGTACCAGGCTAGGGCTCTTCTTTTTAGTTGAGGCCCACCCTTTGCTCAATCTAAATATGACCTTATACGGCTGGTTGAAATTGTATTCTGTCGGTATAAGGTTGGTTTTAATTTCAATCAGGTGATTTAGACATGGGTCCTGGAGGATTTCGAGGTGTCCTCTGAGGTTACCCTGCATCAACTTGAGTGAAAAAACTGTTTTCAGTGATAAAGCACTTCAAGCTGCCTCCTTTTGTATATATAGACATGCTAACCGCTGGATTTGTGCCAGCTGTTGTTGTGCTGTCTTATGTTTTGTTTTTGGCCATCAAACCAATGAGGAGTAGGCGACCATGGGTCTGATTATTGCTACGTAGGTCTAATGAGCCATTCTTGGTTTGAGATCCTAGTTTCTTAAGTAATACCGATAAAGCTGTTGATGAAAATAATGCCGATAAATATTCTGAAAAAAGTGGTAAGCAATCTGGTGTTGAGGATAATCAACTTTCTGAGACTACAGTAAACCCTCATGAAACCGTAATAAATTCTATTACAACCGATGATACTTGGGGGACATGCGGAAAAGTAATAAATGTTTTTTCCATATACCATCCAAAGTGGTGGTTTTCAGCTCAATCGTACTGCGACAAAATCTATACAAAATCTATTGCCAGTTAATCGACAACCAGTTTTTTGAACGAGTAGTGAGAGAAACAAACAGATACATTAGAAGTCACAATCTTCCTCGCAGATCAGAAGTACGCAAATGGACTACCAACATAAAAGAAATTTGTATTTTTTTGGATTCCTCCTAATTGTGGGAATAAATCAGCTTCCTAACAGAAATGAAGATATTTGTAAAAAAATGACAAGTAGAAGATTTGACTTATCGCTCATATTCATTCATTTTGCTGAAAACATAAATACCGTATTTTCTCGAATCTAATCCGCACCCTTTTTACAAATTTTGTATGCTCTAAAATCAAATGCGGATTACAATCGGATGTGGATTACATTGGAAAACCAACTTTTTTTACCATCATTGCATTTTTAAAATCGAGGTGCGGATTAGATTCGAGTGCGGATAAGATTCGAGAAAATACGGTAGATTAGGATGATAGATTAGGAAAGTGATGGTTTTCAATTAAATCCTACCGACTATTGCGACTCTTAGAAAATCTATTGCCAGTTTATCGACAACGAGTTTGTTGAACTAGTAGTGAGAGAAACAGATAGATACATTAGAAGTCATTATCTTCTTTGCAGATTAATCCATCCGTGCTACATTAGCAGCCGATTATTTTCTTAATGTTTTTTCTTGAAACATTGTAAATGTATTGGCGGTCCCACAAAGTGGCTAATGTCCCACAAAGATAACTATTATTTTGCAAAAGGAATTTCGCTAACTTGACGCTGGTATAAAAATTGTCGCTGTATGACCATCATTCAGTAGTGTCTTCGGTTTTGCCACAATAGATTTCAAAATTGTAAGTTTACGCGTTCCGGTTGTGCAAACTTATATTAAACAAGTCTACCTCACCATGGTTGCATACAATGGTTGCATCAAAAACCACCATTTTCTTGCTAGAAAAGTTTGCTGATAATTGGATCATATAAAGGATCCAACACCGTTTTTACGTTTGCCAATCTATCTTGGTTTCTTATTTTTTGCTCGTTGTCAGCAAAAGAAATGAATATAAGTCATATCTTCTACTTGTCATTTTTTTACAAATAACTTCATTTATGTACATTCGATTTTAGTATCAATAATATAGACACATTTTAGGAAGCTGATTTATTCCCATTATTAGGAGGATTTCAAAAACAGTACGAAATTCTTTTGTGTTTGTGGTAGTATATTTGGGTACTTCTGATCTGCGAGGAAGATTGTGACTACTCCTAACTCAACAACTAATGTATTTGTTTGTTTCTCACTACTAGTTCAAGAAACTCGTTGTCGATAAACTGGCAATAGAGTTTAGAAAAACATTTGTGACTTTTCTTGATGTACTGTAGTCCCAGCAAGTTAATTATCTTCATCACCAGATTGCTTATCACTTTCTTCAGAAGATTTATCGGCATTACTTTCATCAGTAGATTTATTGGTATTACTTTATGCATTACCTGAGGGATGGCAAGAAGATCCAGAATCAACAAATGTGAATCTGATGAATAAATAGTATTATCGGTATCATTGATGGAACATAATGGTCCAGACGGATCAGATGGATTTGATATGGTTCCTGCAAATTCAATTATTATTTATCTGACACAAAGATATAAAGCTGCCTCTTCCACTTTCTTCTTGCTTCTAAGACAACATGGCATCCGAAATGTCAAATACTTTTTAAAAAGACTAAGGCTGCTATTAGTTCTAGCGATAGTGCTAGTATAAATTCTAGTTTTAGTTGAATTAACACCGACCGAGAAAGCTTTCGTACTTATATTAAAAAATACCTTTCATAAGCACCCCTGTGATTCTCAAATCCACTATTAAAGTTCCATAAAGACACTGGTGTATCACCAATAACCAAATCTTCAACTTCACCTTCAAAAGAACTCTGTCTGATACTATCTTGTATTCGGAATTCTGGTGGATGACTTCCCACAAATAGTTTTGTTTGGTTTCTATCGACATTGAAAATTGTGTAAGGTCCGTCCAAAACGTATTCTTGTACCGTTTCTTCAACCGTGCCATCTCTGCGATCTTTTCGAATTATTAATTTTGCATTTAACCCAGTACTAAAATTTTTAATTTTTTAAAATTTTTAAGTTAATAATAAAGTTATGTATTATGTATAAACGATTTTTTAATTTCTTACCGTTCAATGATAAATTGATACCAAATGTCTTCAGCGACGTATTTCGGATTAACTATTCTTTCAGCTCGAACTCCAAGATCTATTGTTAAAACTGGATAACCGTTTTCGATTTCGAGAGCCATGAAATCATCCTAAAAAAAGTGTGAAAATTTGATTTGATTTTTATTATTAAAAATAAAACATACAGTTGTCGTTCTTCTTAAATTCGTTCCAACTTCATTTCCCAAATATAAAAGTAATCCATTTTTTTCTTTGGTTTTGAAGTATCCAGAAATGTAAGTGGAAGTTGCAAGATCTGGAAGTGATTCGATGTTACGTAATTCTAAAGTAGTGTTACGTTCAAATCTTAATCCAACTTTAATTCGATTAGCTATGTCTCTTGCCAAAGCGATTTGCCGATTTAATTTCTTAATTTTATCTTGTAAATTGTCTGAAATAGCACCTAAGTCGCTTGGTTGCGTAGGATATTTCTTTAATTTTTCGATCAATTCCGGTAATTTCTCATTAATATCATTTAATTGTTGCTTAACTTGATCAATTCCTTGATTAGCATTATGAAGTTTCTTTGGTAATTCTTTAGCAGCGTTGGTTTCATGAGGAACTTCATTATAATTGCTCCCGATTTGTTTTAAGATATCCTGAGTTTCAACATCTGCTGTATTTGTAGTATCCAAAGCATCAATTAAAAGACCATCGACTGATTGCGAAGGGTAATTTTTAATAAAATCTTCGATACCTTTTACTTTTTCAACATTCTTATCATGAATAGAACGTATTTTTCGAGATTTAATCTGAGATTCTAATAATTTCGGTTCAAGTTCTTTTTGAATATTCTGTTTAGTTGCATAAACATCATCTAATAAATCTGAAGCATTATCTGTTGCATTGGCAACTTTTTTATTTAAAGCTTCTCTTGCCGTTGATGCGTTAGTAACATATTCTTTGCTTTCTTCTGCAGCAGCAAATGCTTCTTCTATAGCGGTTACTATATCATTATAAGCATTAGCGGCTCTTATTGCATTTGCCGACGTTCCTTCCGTTTCATGTAGGATATTATTGAGTTCTTCTGCTCGCGTTGATAAATTTGCTGCGTGGTCGAAAACTTTGGGAAGTCTATCCTCTAATGAAAAAAGTTGCTGTTCTGTATAATCATTCATACTCTCGAAATCTTTTATTGGAACTTCGATTGAATCTAGATAATTTGATAAATTTGAGTATAAATCTTTGGCATTCTTTAGATTTAACGTTGCATTTTGGAGAAGTTCATCAGAATCTTTGAGATTGTTCTTTGCTTCTTGAGTATGGTTTAACGAACTTTCAAATTTCTTTTGAATGCGATCTTGACTGTAATAAAAAAAAAACAACGTTTTATTAAGCTTTATTTTATAAACTACTATTATATAATCATTTATGACTTATTTAAAATAGTTATTTAAAATATTTATTATGACTTCATTGATATTTTTTAATGGAACCATATGTATTTGATTACGAAAATTATTTTTTTTGCTACGAGTAAATATATAAGTTTGAGAAAAGAAAACTTTAAAGGTTTATTTTTTACAAACTAAAAAATAGCAATACTAAAATCGCTCATTTGAATGAAGCCCAATGAATAGAAATTTAAATTTTTATGGAATGTGAAGATAAAAACCGAGTACAAAAGGTGTACTTAATTTGTTTAAAGCAAACTATCCAGACAAAACTATTAGCAAGTCGTGATGTTAAGCCTTGGTCAATACGAAAGTGGAAATGCCCGATTCGAAATCTCTTTCCAATTCCACTAAAACGCCAAAATATTGCGAAACTACACAAAAATAACCTTTTTTAAGCGGTCATAACTCGTAAATGATGTACTCGATTATCAAGATCTAGGTATACCTCATTCGTTTCGCCAAAGTTGTAACAAATTTTATTTTTAACAATATTGCTCTTTTATATTTTTGCTGTCAAATGCTTAAATATCGAGAAAAATTCGAAAAAGTGATAATTAGATGAAATCGAGGTTTTATATTAACATGAATTTATTATAATATATGAATTGAGATGGGGTATTTTGTGATTTCGGCGAATCGAATGACGTATAGATCTTGATAATCGAGTAGGGAAGGTTTAAAAAATTTATCAGGTATTAATCAAACCTTTTGGTTTAATGCAATGCTTTAAGTGATAAAATTTATAGTCGCAATCGAAAAGTACATACAATACAGGATTATACCATAGAACAACGTTGAATGTACTTTAGACCAATTAGTAACTACACCTAATTTTATTTATCTACATTATTATTAACTATTATAATAAATAGATATAGTAGAAACCACGAGAGCTGGCAGTGACTTGACGTTTAAAAATCGTATGAATCAAAATATGGACGTACGACTTATGCCCACTTTTACCATCCTCCTGATAATGAAATAAAAGTAAGTTTTACGATGATGATTGTTTATTTTATTTGTTTCGGTGCGACAATTGTTTCGACCAATATGGTCTTCTTCTTAGGCACGACGTCAAAAGAGAGGTTAGATGTTGAGACGGAGAATTAAAGTTGATTCAGTAATTGGTTTATAAAAACGGTCGCAAAGGGGTTGTGTACATTTTAAGTGATACATTTTCTCGAATCGGAACGGAAACGTTGTTTACATTAAAGTTTGTTAAATGAAATTTGAAAACACGTTGAAAAGTGAGGTTATAAGTTTTAAACAAGGATCATCGTAAAAAGAAACAAAAAAGTTAAGAAAACAAAAAGATGAACTGTTAAATGAAAATAACAAAAATTAAGAAAAAAAAAAAACTAGGAAAAAATAATAATTAAAAGTGAAACGGTACTTTTCCGTGAAGCGCAAAAGTCCGACTGTGTTATGTTGTTATCCTCCTGATAAACTATCTAGAGGATAGTTGCCATGGTTACGGCGGTTTTAAGCACTCTCATTGGCTGAGAGCTGGATTTATCTATCGGATAAA